TTTTTTTTTTTTTTTTTTTTTTTTTTTTTTTTTGTTATATATTGAATATGCTATTTTGACTGTATGGAAAGTGAGCGTATAAAAGGTATCGGACAAAATGCCGGACAGAAGCAATACGCGTATGAAGATGAAATGTTGCTCCTCCATTTCTGGGGTGATGTCGCGCCTATGTAAATGGAGGTTGGCATGGTATTCGAGTAGACGGATGACAAAACGGAGGCCCTTCTGGTCTAGGGCATTGATTAGTACAGCAGCATTCCAAAATATAAGCCAAACATCTCGACTCACAATACTCGAGAGCCGCCTCCGGATCCTGGTTGTAAAGGGACGTGAACTTCCATCTATCCTTCCTAACCCCAGGCACGTAGATATTTGCATCCGTAACAATATCTGCTTTAGATCCTGCATTCCGCAACAGCTCCTTCCCAGCTTCGTCCCTATAAGAATCGCGTAGAAACGCCTCTGTGAACCTCGGATTCTGCACTATCTTGTCTCTCGTATTTGAGGAGCATGCGATCGATGTTGTACTTTTCGCTATTTGCCTCCAGCTCATTGATTTCTTTGCATGTCACCTTATAGAACTTCAGCAACTAATCGAATGGGCTCCTATTCAGTGTGCGGAGAGTTAGGTAGGGCTGTTTAAGGTTGAGTAGACGTTGGTGGGATATGAAGGTTAGTTTCGTGAAATGAAGGATGATGAGACGTAAAATTCGCTAAAGTTCTGCATTAATTGGAATGTTTCTAAAAAAAAGTACGGCCAGGTCAGTAATCGGAGGTTGCTAGGGTATACGCCTACCAAGGACGATGTACACACATTTCAGATTCAAAGCGAAAGACAAATGGATAATGGAACAGAAAAACAGACAATAAGGTGGTAAATGAGAAGAGAAAGGAGCGGGATAACGGAAGGGAATAGGAAGAGGAGGGAAACTGCCCCAGACCCATCAGAAAGAGGAGTAGCCAGCACGTCTGCCACCACTGCCATTACAATGCACAACGACAATCCAGCCTGTTATTTAGCTGGCGCAAGCTGCCCCAGCCATTCAATTTGCTCTCATTTCATACTTGACAATCAGATTGACCATAATGAAAAAAAAAAAAAAAAAATTAGGGCTTACGTCTGCTTGTGGACAAGCAGCATACTAAAGAAAATGAGAAGCCAGAGTACGCACTCTGAAAATTTAGTATGTATGCAAAAGTGGTAACATAACAAGGGAAACGTATCAGGCTAAAAAAAATAGAGATAATAAATAGCTACAAAAATCTCCTCATCGACATGACATCTCTAAACCGCGGGAAATTATTTAAGCATCAATCAGATTCGGCGCCTGTGTGCTGTCCCTCGTGTCCTTGTTGGGCACTTTACGACCATGGCGGGTGTAGAACTCGTCCAGAACACGCTTGGGAATACGGTTGAGCAGCTCCTTGGGGTAGACACGGAGGAGGTTCCAGGCAATGTCGAGCGATTCGAAGATACTCCGGGATTCGTATGCGGACTGGCTGATGAAGGTACGTTCGAACTTGTCGAGGAACTCGAGGGAGAGCTTGTCCTCGGAGGACAGAGCCTCCTCACCAACGACTGCCTTCATGGCGGCTGTTGCGGTTGTCAGTGACGCTATTCTTTCGGTATGAAACATAGTAAGACTAACCGGCATCACGTCCAATAGCATACTTCGCGTACAGCTGGTTGGACACATCAGAGTGGTCCTTCCGAGTGCGGCCTTCACCAATGGCAGATTTCATCAGACGCGACAGAGACGGAAGGACGTTAATGGGAGGGCTGACGCCCTTATTGTAGAGTTGACGGTCAATGAAGATCTGACCCTCGGTAATATAACCAGTCAAGTCAGGAATAGGGTGGGTGATATCTGAGAAAGGTCAGCTTGGTAGAAGATGGCATTGGATTTGTAACGTACCATCGTTAGGCATAGTTAAGATAGGAATCTGGGTGATGGAGCCGTTACGGCCCTCAACACGTCCAGCACGTTCGTACATGGTAGCCAAGTCAGTATACATGTAACCGGGGTAACCACGACGACCAGGAACTTCTTCTCGTGCAGCAGAGACTTCACGGAGAGC